ATTATAGACTGATCATTTCTTTGTCAGTGGGCAAACGTACAAAATCAGCAGGGGATCAAATACTTTTTTCCCTCACTGTATACTGAGATCATGTGACACTTAGATTGCACACAGGTGGACTTTATTTAACTAATTATGTGACTTCTGAAGGTAATTGTTTGCACCAGATCTTATTTAGGGGCTTCATAGCAAAGGGGGTGAATAAATATGCATGCACCACTTTTCCATTATTTTATTTTTTCATTTCACTTCACCAATTTTGACTATTTTGTGTATGTCCATTACATGGAATCCAAATAAAAATCCATTTAAATTACAGGTTGTAATGCAACAAAATAGGAAAAACGCCAAGGGGGATAAATACTTTTGCAAGGCACTGTATGTAAATGTTTGTCTTTTGTCTGTAATGTATTTTTCGATATGTGTCGGGCCCCAGTAAGACTATCTGTCGCCATTGGCGCCGGCTATTGGGGATCCTAATAAATCAAAATATTAAATATACTGAATATATAGTCGAAATTTACAACAGGTCACTTGCCCTCATTATAATTCCATACATGCAGTACAAATCCATAGTCAATTGGTTGTGTATTAGCTTCGCCACAATAGAAGAAACACAGTACAGTGCAAACCCCTAAATAAAGCTGGTTTGCCTTTTCAACATAATCCTATTTGACAGGTGGAGGGCCCTAGAAGTTAAACAAATGTTGATTTCTATAATCCACTTGTCCTAGATAGCACAGCACACCACTGTGCTTCCTGGTTTGTTTTCTAATATATGAAAGCAGTAAATTCCCATGTTTTTGATGAATGTGGGTCAGGTAGAGTCCCCCGCTGATAATCACAGTGATGTGTACGGGTGCAGATTTGGGAGATTAGAGGTTTTGTCTAATCATCTGCCTCTCGCCACAGCTGTAAATCACATTAGGCAGACAGAGTGGGCTGTTGGGCCGCTCCATTGAGACGGCTGCTTTTGGGTGCAGCAGCAGGCCACACATTGGTCACAGATTCGCTGCGAAGACAGGATTACAGATAATGTTGTTAGGTATCTGCCCCGGGAAAAAGGGGAAAAGAGCAAGTTCTCTCTCTCTAATGATGAATATATGGATTGCGGCCATCATTAGAGATGATAATAAAAGAGTCTAGCAAAGCTGATTAAAACGTGCTTGAAATGGAGAGAAAAACATCTGCCACAAAAGTGAGAATGAGAGCACATATCCTGTGAAAATGTAATATTTGTCCAAGGATGACTCTAGTTCAAACAACATTTCAATTTAGTTATTAGGCCTAATATCCAAGTTCAGAGTTTCACTGAAGTGCCATATTGCTTAGTACTAATCCTTGATACAAGATACAAGCACCTATCCCACACTGGAAAACTCTGTCAGTGACCACATGCAGTGACACCTATCGCTGTTTATTGTTCCTCTGCTCTTTCAGTTCAGTTCAGCAATTACACCACCCTGCATGCCTGGGACCTGGGGATAAACAATTTACACTTAATTCTGTGAGTAAGCGATTTATCAGTTTTCCTGCACTTAATCTGACCCTGCTGGCACTTGTGACAAGAGCTCTGTGGGGCTCTTTAGGCTGGTGGTGTCTAGATGTGGCTACACATTAGGCAGTGTTAGTTGGCTTTTTTTGTGGTGTTTCTCCCTCTCTCAGGCCATGCTGATGCACAGTCCTATTGGCTATTGATTGTGGGTTCAGTGCCAACCAATGACTGTAGGTTCCAACCCTGGTTGGCTGTAAACCCCGTCCCAGCCCCATCGTAAAGGTCACATTTCATATGGGCCTTTTTCCAAAGCTGGCAGTGGGCAGACAGGCGACTGGCTTCAAGGCAATTGATCATTCATCTCCACCCATGCATTATTAATCCATGTTTTGTCAATGGGAAAAAAGTTAATGCAACATGATCTTTGTGTATGACTAGAATACTGACGCATAGTAAAGTTGTACTTCCTATAGACAGTGTTTAACAATGCCATTTAACTACATCTGTATCTGTGTGCATGTGTGTTGTCAGCCTTTCTCTTTTTTAATCCCTGGTGACAGAGCCAAGAAAAGTTCCGCTACACAGGGCAGCATTGTGCCGCTGGAGAGGCAGAGGGGACGGTCACAGAGGGAAACGGATCCTGACGCTGTCCTCTCTCTCCTCTCTGGATCACAGCTCAGTGGGCAGGGCTCAGAGCACAGAGGACACTGACCTGTCTGTCCTGTGTGAGGGCCAAAGCTATACTGACTACACCTACCATGGTCCTGTGGAGCTGTCCCTGCTTATATCCAGCCTCTTGCTCTTTCTCTCTCGCTAAGTCTCTCTTTTTGTCTCTTCTCTCTCTCTCTCTCTCTCTCTCTCTCTCTCTCTCTGTCTCTCACTCTCTCTCTCGTTCTCTCTCTCTCTGCCTGTACTTCCAGTGAGTGAATGAGTGCTGGCCGGCTCTCCTACTGTAGGTGGAGCTGGCTTTCCTGGAATTGTGGGGCAGCTCTTCCTGTTGTGCTTGCTACTTGCTACCTCATGCTCTCCGTCTTCTGGTTCCTGGTTAATGACAGCCCTGCTCCGCTACCGCAGGATTACTGCCTTATGAAGACTTGTTCCATCTGGATGCGGGCCTCTCTTCTGTTACTGCACACTGCCACCGCCTCGTTTCGGGGGGTTTCTTTGTTGTCGTTTAATATACTTTCATGATTTGGGTCAGAAGTTCCCCCTCAACCGAAATGTCTCTGCAGTACAAAGCGGAGCGAAATCCATCGGTGGGTAAAGTAAACTGCGTATGAATGGGAAAGCTTTCAGGGGGAGTGCGTAAGGTGCAGTTGCTGTGAAGCACTTTGCTCTGGCTCTCTGCCACAGTATACTTTTACAGGGTTTTTGTGTAACTCTAGGGCTTTTGTGGCTGTTTGTAACATGACATCAAGGCTGGGACATTTTCATTTGTGTACAGTATTTGCATTGTTCATGCAAAGCTCTTAGATCTTTTTTCATATTTATGAACTATTATTTGGCTTCATTGAATGGAGACTAAATAATTTACAGGGTATTTTCAGTCACACATGGCAGGATATTTGCATGTTACTGTTGTATTGTAATTTGGTTAGAGGAAATACAAGAAAAAAATATTCTGCCGAATGTGTCATATGAGTTGGGTTTGACTTGTGGACTACTTGTCAAACACATTACGAAAGACAAACATGTCAGGACAGTGATCGTCTGTGGATTTAGTAGCCACTCCTACTTCTACAACAACTATTCTTACACTACAGTAGACATGAGCACCAATATACTTTGTATCAGCAAGTATTGTTGAGATTTTGTAATTTACTTTTCACCAGATTAATTTACTTCAGTGAGCAAAATATCTAAACTTGACATTGTGTGCACTCTGCATGAAAAATAGATTATTTAAAATTGCATTTAAAATCTATGATTGGAAATGTCTTGGGTGTTCAAGGTCAAGATGCTAAGATTATACTCAATTTTTAATGGAGGAAACCATAAACGATCATAATATTTCAATCTGTTTCTGAAAATGCAATACAGTAGCCTATACTGTATGTTTTCTTACCGCTAACAAACTATTGTTGTATTTCTAATCTCTGAGCATCACTTTTGAACATTGGAAACACAAACTCCACCCCGCTAGTCCTTTTGCCAGCAAGCTTGTCTCATCAACTTGGATAACAGAGAGAACTTTGTTACTCCAAAAAAATTACACAGACACCTGCATTAAACTCCATGTCTGCACAAACCAACAATAGTAGCACAACAAAGCCCCACAGATGCATTCATATTGTCTGCATCACAGACAACAGACAATTGTCTCTTGTCTCATACAGTAGGTTAGCTGAGTGCCTCTGTGGATTTGACTAGAATAGGAGGGGGAACAAACTGTGGCCTGTAGCTCTGGGGCCTGGGGTAATTGCTGTATCCTCACAACTTCAAAGACCACTTGTGCCCGGCTGGCCTGATAATGAGCTTTTGCCTTCTTTCACACGTAATGAGTGGAGGTAGAGAGTTCACACAGGGAGACGCGGCGGTCACAGCGCGTCTACTCGCAGCTGGGGTGTCTGACTGACCTGTAACAAAGGCTCTGTGTCCATCAGTCCAGTCACAGTGTGGAGCTCCAGCCGTGAACAGGCAGGGCCAGGGACTTCTGCTTCACTGAGCTGTCTGGCCTCACAGTCCTGCACTGCGCTGGGCTAGCTAGCCTGACCAAGCCTCTCCATATACATGGGCCAGGCTATTCTTATATGCACTGTATGTCTACTTGAGTAATTTTTGTGTTTCTGGAGTTATATCATCAAAACAACTCAAAACGCTTACATAAAATATTCACTGTTTGTTTGTTTTTCCCAATTTCGGTCTTTGGTTGTTTGGTTGTTGCTTCACAGGGAATAAGGACAGATGTGCCTCCCTATAAAATATGTATGAATTAATTCAGGGGAAATTAACAAAAACATGGATTGCTTAACTTTTTCACGAACAACACTTTCATTTCTATGCAGCTTTAATAATTTATATTTGTCTGAAGGGATCAGAATATGCCGAAACTCAATTAGAAGAGTCTTCATTTCTCATTTCCTAATTTCATTCAATACCACTGATAAAGATACCACAGATGTGTTATTCAGTAACTTCTATTTATTCCTCTAGTACACCAAGTCATCTCCAGTTTTCTTTAAATTAGGAATGTGGAAAGACCACTCATTAATTTATATTCAGGGAAGGTTGACAACCCCCTATAGCTCAACCCTTTTCGAACCCTTCACTTCTCTCTCTTTCTGTCTCTCTTTCTCTCTTTTTCTCTCTCTCTCTCTCTCTCTCTCTCTCTCTCTCTCTCTCTCTCTCTCTCTCTCTCTCTCTCTCTCTCTCTCTCTCTCTCTCTCTCTCTCTCTCTCTCTCTCTCTCTCTCCCATTCTCTAATGATGTACTCCATGTCATCCCTACAGATAGCTGATCAGCTTCCCTGGATTTTGCTGACGACACCGCTTTGTTGTGCGTGAAGATGGAAACACTGGAGTCGGAGCTGACCTGCCCAATCTGTCTGGAGCTCTTCGAGGACCCACTGCTCTTGCCCTGCGCTCACAGCCTGTGTTTCAACTGTGCCCACCGCATCCTAGTCTCCCACTGCACCCCCAACGAGCCTGTGCAGTCCATCAGCGCCTTTCAGTGCCCAACCTGTCGCTATGTCATCACCCTCAGCCAGAGGGGCCTAGAAGGACTGAAGCGTAACGTCACTCTGCAGAACATCATCGACCGCTTCCAGAAGGCTTCCGTGAGCGGGCCCAACTCCCCCAGTGAGACTCGCCGCGAGCGGGCCGCCCTAGACAACACGGCCATGACCTCCCCCAATGAGAGGGTGCAGTGCCAGTTCTGTGAGCAGGACCCTCCCCAAGACGCTGTCAAGACCTGTGTCACCTGCGAGGTGTCCTACTGCGACGAGTGCCTGAAGGCCACCCACCCCAATAAGAAGCCCTTCACTGGCCATCGTCTGATCGAGCCCATGCCGGACTGCCACCTCAGGGGACTCATGTGTCTGGAGCACGAGGACGAGAAGGTGAACATGTACTGTGTCACAGATGAACAGTTGATCTGTGCCTTGTGCAAACTGGTCGGTCGGCATCGGGACCACCAAGTAGCAGCACTCAGCGACCGCTACGAGAAACTGAAGGTAAGAGATGCTACTGTACAATACTGTGCACAGCTTCAGGAATGTCTGGGGAGTATCTGGGGAGTTAATGATTGTCTGTGAAGAGCTCATCGTGTACAATAACTTGTTTCCACTGAGTATAACACATGGACAGATTAAAAATAATATTTGATGAAAATTAAGTTTGAACTTGTAAGTATATTAGATAAACAAGATTGTGCCTGAATTGCTTGACAAAAATATAGATCAAATTCAATATTTGACTATTCTCTTTTTGTTTTGTGGAGATTCACCACACACAATTTTCAGAGATCACAGTTCATTTTGTTATTACTTACTATTTTATATCACCTGCCTTTCAAAAATACTAAAATGATGTGATTGTTATACAATGTGTTGTTTTCAGAATGTAATATATTTTATTTGTGGCCGTATCATACAAATCTGTGACCTACTGCAGTTTGAGAAAAAACACATTGTTCAACATGTCATATAGACATCTTGATGATGGAATTAAAAAATTACATTTGAGATTAACATTAAACGTGAGTCATTAACATAATATATAATATCCACTATTTCAATAAATAGTCGTTCCCCTATTGATATCCTTTTTTTTATCATACCAGAAATGTTTCCTTAGACTCAGCAGACTTATGGGCGAATCAGGAGTCATTGCTGATGGTAACAGTGCAGTACAAGAACACAATATACGATCAGGCAACCTCACTATTATATGATATGTATTATATATCTACAGATGTCTGGGCTCTTGACGTACAAAACCTTAAAAGAAAGCTAATGGAATTCCCCATTCAGTCAGGTTTCCCAATAATACATCAGCGTTAAACTCATGTGATGTCTGTTAATATTTCAAAGAGCAAGCGCTTTGGGAACAAGGAGTGATCACACACCATGACACTCTTTCGTTTAGGGGCTTAAATGTAACATTTGCCATGTAATTCCAACCAATAAAAAAGATTGCTTCCAGGGTTTCAGGTTAAATAGAACTAACCACTTTCCCTCCATGGGTCCATATTAATAAGGCATCATGAGAGAGACGTTGTTAGCTGGAACACAAAAAGGTGGCCACGCATTCCTTCCACTTTAGACTTGAATGAGCCCCTGTCAAAGCACTGAGATTTGTGCTTTGTGGGTTAGTATTTTGCCAACACACGCCATGGGACTCGATCATGGCTCCAGAAACCTCATGGGAGCAATTAATGCTCTATTACAAGGCAGAATGTAATGTACTGTAGTTAGCCTTTCACATGGAAATTGACCCTCACATTTGACAAGTTCTATCAAGAGATGCAGCACGCAGGGCTGTGATGTTAGCAGAGCTCAACCTTCTATATTGATCAACATGTAAAGTATTGAAATATCTTCTCAGTAAAGTTGTTATTTTAGTATTTGCAATTCATTAAGTGGACGCTAAAACTACTTTTTTGTAGTTAACATTTTCTATCCATCTTTGTTTGTACAGTACAGTAGACATAGCCTATCTATTGTCATTTTATCACAGGCTATTGATGGCTTATAAAAAATTTTATACATATATTTGCATACGGCAGTGTTTAGTTTAGTAAATAAGAAGTCAGTGTAATAATGTAACAACTCAGTAGGTGTCAAGTCTAGCTAAAAGGTTTCTAGGGATCACATGGCTTCCACTGCATGGCTTTGAAAGACCACAGGACTTTTCACACATATATAAATATATAACACTACTTGTGCATGAATCATAAAAAGTGTTTTTTTGCATTACATGATACACACAAACTATTTTTGCTTGTCCTTTCACCAAAAACAAAGAGAATGCCAAGCTTGGTCCCAGACTCCCAGTGAAACTGAGATGCTTTAATCTTAGATTGCAGTATGGCGGTTGAGGTCAGAGCATCAGCCTTAACCAGTGTCTCCTTTGTTTGATCATGCTGTCATTGTGCAGAGAACTCCAGGCTGCTATCTCAGTGAGAGGATTGAACAGGAGGAAGCAGGCCAGGTGATATCTACGGTATCTACAGCATAACTCCAACTCCACATTCAGGGACAGGTCTACTAAGAGTTTATGGCTGCTTTTTTCAATGGGGAATAAAACCTACAGACTAGAGCAAAACATATGATGCAATATACAGTAGAAATTATATTAAGGTCAAATCTATATAATTTTTGTGGCTCTTTTATTCCCCTCTGAAAATATCAGGAGCATATTTTGCACAGGTGCAAATGCTCTGTAAACCTGACCCATAGAATATAGTCCACATTTATTGTGGGTGGCTTCATTGCCTCTATGCGAGATCTGCATAGTTTATGTAATGAGTAACGGCATATCTATACATACAGTATATAGATATGTACTATGGAACATAGTTTCACTTTTTGTGCCATCATACTGTTACATAAACAGGAGAGAACACTATAAAAAATTTATGTGATTTTATGTGAGGTAATCCATTTGGAAAAAGTGCACGTAAATTCCACAATAGATACAAGATTTACATTATTTATCATAAATAGATATGAAGGAAAATAACTAACACCTACTTCACTGTTGCACTGTATTTTACTGGTATTACTAAGAGTGGGCAGTGGCAGACTTGTGGTCAACTATGACCCATGCATGTCCGATATTTCTTGCCAGATGTAAGATGCACTATCTACTACACTGTAAAACATTTCCTGTAAAATGTACAGTTACTTACTGGCAGCAATTGGCCAGTAAATTACTGTAATTAATTTTACAGTACAGCTACTGTAATCAATTTTACGGTAATCCGAAAATGTTACCAACATTTTTACTGTAATTTAATTTACAGTACATTACTAGAATTGCCCATGCAGCGACATATTACCCAGTGTTCTTTGCAAGTTTTATTTTTTTACATTTACATTTGGTCCTCTGTAGCTCAGCTGGTAGAGCACGGCGCTTGTAACGCCAAGGTAGTGGGTTCGATCCCCGGGACCACCCATACACAAAAAAAAAAATAATGTATGCACGCATGACTGTAAGTCGCTTTGGATAAAAGCGTCTGCTAAATGGCATATTATTATTATTATATACATTTTGGGAATTTAGCGGGCGCTCTTGTCCTTAGCAACTTACAGTCAGTGCATTAAACCAAGGTTGATTTAAAAAAACACATATCACAGTCATAGCAAGTAAAATGATATGTAACCGTTACTGAAAATGTTGTTGTAGTTAAGGATACATTGGTCTTCAAAATAATTGTAATTACAACAAGATATCTTATTATATAGCTTAGGTTATCTCTGGATAGTGCCAAAACAATACTGAGATATTCACAGTAACTTAATGCCAGAGCAATGAAACACAGTACAATACAGTAAAAGTGACTATAAACTAAGAAAGTTATTTCTACAGTATTTTACTGTAATTGCAAGGGATTAGAGCAAGCAGGTTGGCGGTATCCATTTTCATATTAAAGCATATTAATGAATACTAGGTGTTTTATGTTACTTGCACTTCTAGAGGGCTAAACAAAGGCTTCCAAACTGGGTGTGATTACAGGGCAAAACAGATCAAATGGACATGGGTCAATATTTAACCATTAATAGGTTTAAGACCCACTACCTCTCTGATCTGTTCTCTATATACATTTAATTGTTAGGGAACTACTACCACATATCACTTAAATTGGTACAGAGCTCTCACTAACAGGTGCAACAAATATAGCCACTTACAAGGCACGCCTTCAAATATGCACCATAATTTACAGTATGCTGTAGTAAATATATAGCAAATCAGTACTTTATTGTTGAATTGAAAATAAAATCAGCAATTGCTAATAGTGAATATTTAATTATATATTATGCCATACCAACTGATATTTGGTGTTTTATATCACTTGCACTTTAGGACTTAACAAAGGCTTCTAAACTGACACCGACTACTGGGAAAAACAGATCTAAAGGACATGGCTAGCCACTCAACCTTTAACAATTTTAGACTTGCTGCCACTCTGATCTGTCTCCTATATAAATTTAAGTATTAGGGAACCACTACAACATATCAATTAAATTGGTACAGCGCTCTCACTAACAGGTCCAACAAATATAGTCTCTTACAAGGCACGCTTTAAAATATGTTAATGAGCCCGAGACTCTTTCCCGCCCACATTTTACCACAATGCACCATAATTAATACTTTAAAACAAATGTACAGTATTTTACTGTGCATTCTACATTATTTTGCTGTTGAAATGACAGAAAGGTATTTCAGTGTGCTGTAAAACAAATAAGGTATTTTACTGTGCATTCTACGGTAATCTACTTTGTTTAGTTTATACAGTATCATACTGTTGACTAATGCAGTAAGTTACTGATAAAATTACAAAAACGGCTAACAGTGTACGTGGTCACGTTTTTCAGTACAAATCCTACAATATATCCGATTAGAATGTTTGAGACAGATGTCAACTCTATTCTTCAGAAACAAATGAATGAAGTTATTCTGAGCATGGCAATTGTAATGTCAGAACCACACTGGTCCTTACTTATCATCATAGACCTTAATACCCTTGTGTATGATTACCTTTTGTCTGTTTCTATTCCCCTGACCTTTGTACCAAGGTATTGCCATACTCTCTCCCCAAGTCAGCATATACAGTAGGGCTAGGATGACCTGTTCTTGGCTTCATTTTATGTTGTTGCAGCATTGTCCTTTGTGCTCCGTGTCTGTCACATGGGGCCTTTGTCTTGTTTTTGAAAAGTTTGATATTTTACATAAAAATGATTAGTCATCCCGCTTCACCTTTTGAAGTTAAAGCTATAAAATATACAACAGCCAAAGTACAAAAGAACCCTATCTAAATAAATAATGTTAACAGAGAGACTAAGATATTTTTGGACATGGAGATGCAGCCATAGGCCTCACTGCAAAAAGACAACTACGTGTTGCAAAATTAATTACACGTAGCACACCCCATTTCTTATTTTCACAAGTCTTGACGAGCTAGACTACAGTATGCTGATGGTCCTCTGCCAAGCCCCATCATTGCCCTATTTGGTTACATCCCAGAGGGTACATGCACTGTAGCACTCTCTGACTAATGTAGGAGGAACACAAATCAAAGACGTACAGTAGTATTTAGATACCTGTACATGTCTGAAACCTCTTATGTTACCTTGTGATGAATACAGACAGAGAGGTGAGAAAGAGAAGGGTACGGGTAAAAATAAGTTTTCCATTTTATATAACAAGACTGATCATTATTGGTTATGGTACTGTAGAGGTTCTAGTAGTTCTACATTTTGTCCTCAATTTCATCTGACATATTTTATATATTTTCATAGAGAATTTTTCTACTTAATTTCCTCTACTATAATGATTCATTGTACAACTTTTTGAATCAACTATAGAACATGTTTAGACAGTTCCCTGCTATTTTCCTAAAGTAATCCAGACCTGATGAGAGCAAAGAATAGCCGCTTCCTCTGGATGAGGTCCCACACCTTTCTTTGGCTTTGGCTTGCTCAGTCTCTCTTCCTTTCTGACAAAAACCTGACAGGTCAGACCACTGTTGATGTTTGGAAACTGTCCTGCCAACTTTTCTATAATTTTATCACCTGATCTAAGGACAGTGAAAGCTTTGATTGTGCCGATTGTAAAAAGGCAAGCAATAGCCTGGTTTATTCGATCAAACTCAAACAAAATAGTGAATTTCTTGGAAAGAGTGATACACCTTGCGTTCACATGCAAAATAATGAAATTCACCATGTAGATGACTTGCCAGTGGCCAGGATCTCTCAAAAGGCTAAAGGAAGTCACGTCCACCTAAAAGGAGTAACAGAGGGAAATGGAGTTGGCAGAGTGGGTTATCTAGTCTCCAGCATGGGCCTGCTGTCTTTCCTCTCAGAGTTGTTCTGGGAGCTTTTGCAGGGATCCAAACCCTCTCAAATTAATGGCACAGGATAAATAATCTCTGAGAGGAAGTGGATGCTTTATCTCCTGTTGGGAGTTGATATGCCAACTGGCATACCACCCTAACTGTCAAATGTTTATGGAAGAGAGACAGGAGAGACAGGGAGATAGCCTATTTACATAAAGCAATGTTGTTTTAGCCTGGCAACAGAGTGTTAATCCACCAAGAGGCATTTCATTCATTACTATACCCTTTATGACTTATTTTGTTTTCGCATTACGTAAACTTTCCTCACCAAGGCAATTATTTCAAGTGCATTATACAACTAGACACACAAACATACAAATGAACACACTGCTGTATATAATTGCCTTTTTTGGTAGATTCAATTACTATAATAAATCCATTAATGCTTTATGAACTGTATTGTAGCATTTTTCATTGCGTTGTAGTGTGGGTTGTTGTTCTGGTGAGGCTGCTTCAGCTCGCTCAGCTGTTATCTAGCCAGGACTCTCTGGGTCTGTCCCCTGCACCTTCCATCCACAACAGCACAGAGCTATTCTAATGGTTTCATCACCTCTGCTTGAATATAAATAAATAATTTTGGTGAGAGCAGCAAAAAAGATATATATATTTCTGTGCACACTGACGGCTGACGCACAGCCTTATGAAATCGCAGTGCGAAAAGGCCGACCTGAGAGAGCTTTCCCCACAATTAGCTAAACAGTGACTTCACAGACACCTTCAGTTCTCCAAAGTTCTATGCTCTCTGTTCACTCAATTCTTTAAACTTTTCATCATACAGTACAGATGTAGGATCTTAATTTGTGCCAGTTTAATACAACAGGAAAATGATCCTGCAGCAACAGGAAATGTGAATTATTATGTGGATTATAATTAATGAGCATTTTTGTAGGAGTTGATACATTATTCGTAAGGGAAAATCAAGTCTGAAATTTCAAAGTGGAAATTACAAACCTCAAATATACTACAAGTTAAAAAGTTATCCTGCAACAGGCTGATCAAATTAAGATCCTACATATGTATGTATCACAACTATACTTTATGGAGTGCGATACAAAGGTGCTTGTACTTAATATGTTTTTTTTTTTTTTTGAAAAACATGGTGGACAATCTTAATGTCTAGTATTTCAACAAGTTGTTCATTTCAATTCACTGTTATCTAGAGGGCAACATAATGGTATAGCACTCCATTTTGGTATTCTCTTGCTGTGTTTATTCAGTGAAATAGCATCATGAGCCTATCTATAGACCCATACACACAGAACAATTCTTCTGGAGCATAATCACAGTATTAAATTCATCCAGGACTACATACCGTTAACAAATAACCCTCTCAGACATCTAACCAATGCCCTTGTATCCTCCTTATGCCTCACTGCATAACCCCTGTGGCAAGACAATGTAATCCTTCATGGAGAAGAGTAATACATTGCAATCGTTGTGCCAGACAATAATACAACATAAAGAACCTTCTGGATGCATAACAGCCAAACAGAACTTCCCAAATATTCACCTAGCTGTAGAACAGAGTTGTAGATGTACAGCTCTGCCATAGATAGTCAAGCTGTGAGAGAGTTTGATGTGAGTCATCGGTGGGTGATTAATGCATGCAGGGTTTATTGCCTAAATCTCTGGCAGATGCTCTTCTTGTCCCTCTCAGCTTTGGGAGCTCAGTGAGCAGGCAGAAAGATGGGAGCTCTGACATTCTGGCTAGCTCAGAGGTTACTGATTGACTGATCACACACCAAATGGGACACAACCAGACCCTATGAAGGGATTCTCTGTTAGCTTATCATCCTCCACCAGTGGACAGGCATGGTTGTGATTTTGATTTCCCCCCTTCTTTCCAAATTTAGTGAACTGTGTACAGTTTGCTAGAGGAATGTTTTCAGTTACATACTCTGTTGTTCATAGTTTTGTTCTATTCTTTTTTCCACAGCAAGCCTTGGACTCTAACCTCAGCAATCTAATCAAGAGGAACAATGAGTTGGAAACTCTGATGGGCAAGTTGATCCAGACTTGCCAACATGTGGAGGTAAGGATGTTTATCTATTTCCATATTAGGCTATATGGCACATCTCCCAGTTTCTGTGTCATTTCTAATGTTTGATTATTTGATGATATGATTTGTTGATTTCTTCCTTGTGAGTATTGTAAATTTAACACATTACAGTTGAAGTCGGACGTTTACATACACCTTAGCCAAATACAATTAAACTCAATTTTTTTCACAATTCCTGACATTTAATCCTAGTAGAAATTCCCTGTCTTTGGTCAGTTAGGATCACCACTTGATTTTAAGAATGTGAAATGTCAGAATAATAGTAGAGAGAATCATTTCTTTCAGCTTTTATTTCTTTCATCACATTCCCAGTGGATCAGAAGTTTACATACACTCAATTAGTATTTGGTAGCATTGCCTTTAAATTGTTTAACTTGGGTCAAACGTTTCGGGTAGCCTTCCACAAGCTTCCCACAATAAGTTGGGTGAATTCTGGCCCATTCCTCCTGACAGAGCTGGTGTAACTGAGTCAGGTTTGTAGGCCTCCTTGCTCGCACACTCTTTTTCAGTTCTGCCCACAAACATTCTATAGGATTGAGGTCAGGGCTTTGTGATAGCCGCTCCAATACCTTGACTTTGTTGTCCTTAAGCCATTTTGCCACAACTTTGGAAGTATGCTTGGGGTCATTGTTTATTTGGAAGACTCATTTGTGACCAAGCTTTAACTTCCTGACTGATGTCTTGAGATGTTGCTTCAATATATCCACATACATATTTTCCTTCCTCATGATGCCATCTATTTTGTGAAGTGCACCAGTCCCTCCTGCAGCAAAGCACCCCCACAGCATGATGCTGCCACCCCCGTGCTTCACGGTTGGGATGGTGTTCTTCGGCTTGCAAGCACCCCCTTTTTCCTCCAAACATAACGATGGTCATTATGGCCAAACAGTTCTATTTTTGTTTCATCAGACCAGAGGACATTTCTCCAAAAAGTATGATCTTTGTCCCCATGTGCAGTTGCAAACCGTAGTCTGGCTTTTTTATGGCGGTTTTGGAGCAGTGGCTTCTTCCATGCTGAGCAGCCTTTCAGGTTATGTCGATATAGGACACATTTTACTGTGGATATAGATACTTTTGTACATGTTTCCTCCAGCATCTTCACAAGGTCCTTTGCTGTTGTTCTGGGATTGATTTGCACTTTTCGCACCAAAGTACGTTCATCTCTAGGAGACAGAACGTGTCTCCTTCCTGAGCGGTATGATGGCAGTGTGGTCCCGTTGTGTTTATACTTGCGTACTATTGTTTGTACAGATGAACGTGGTACCTTCAGGCGTTTGGAAATTGCTCTCAAGGATGAACCAGACTTGTTGAGGTCTACCTTTTTTTTTCTGAGGTCTTTGCTGATTTATTTTGATTTCCCCATGATGTCAAGAAAATAGGCACTGTTTGAAGGTAGGCCTTGAAATACATCCACAGGTACACCTCCAATTGACTGAATTGAGGCCAATTAGCTTCTGAAGCCATGACATCATTTTCTGGAAGTTTCCAAGCTTAGTGTATGTAAACTTCTGACCCACTGGAATTGTGATACAGTGAATTATAAGTGAAATAATCTGTCTGTAAACAATTGTTGGAAAAATTACTTGCACAAAGTAGATGTCCTAACTGACTTGCCAAAACTATAGTTTGTTAACAAGAAATTTGTGGAGTGGTTGAAAAACTTCAATTCAGTGAACATGTTACAATACTGTGACATATCGACAGCTTGGGACTATAAGGTTGTATCTGCAAAAAGATGATTCTGAGATCATTGGCTTCAAAGTTCCGAACCCTCATTGGTTTGAATGGTGTCAGCACTTTTTATCTAGTATTCTTTTGAAATTAACAACATGAATTGGGGTATTTAGAACACTAAATAGGTAGAGTACATTGGATAGAACAAGGTTACAGTATGTCAATAACTAAAGTTTGACAAAAATGCAGATAGAACCTTATAGTCCCAAGCTCTCGATATAATGTAATATTATCTCACGGACACAGTTACTGAGATGAATATGGTCACTGGGTATACAATAAAGTGGATATGCCAGTAAACCTAACTGTATAAAGTAGGTTATAGGCTAACCTTACTGTAGCCTATAAACATTGTAATATTGCCAAGCATGCGTGCATGTCTGTGTGTATGTGTGTGTGTGTGTGTGTGTGTGTGTGTGTGTGTGTTTGTGCATGATAGAGGGTTATTTGGGGAATAGGCCTAGGTAGAACACAGCAAAACATTTGTGCATGAACCAATTGAGGACTAAAATGACACAACGTGCCCACAGAGAGATGAAAGAAAGAGTGGGCCACGTAGCAGCTCTGGCTGTATTTAGGAACGCAGAACTACTGCTGCGATGCAGTTTTCTTAAAACTGCATTGTTGGTTAAGGGCTTGTAAGTAAGCATTTCACTGTAAGGTCTACACCTGTTGTATTCGGCGCATGTGGCAAATAACATTTGATTTGATTTGATTTGATGACTATGCTCAGCTGATTCTCACCTGCGGCACTGTGCTGTCCTGTGTGTGATGACTGTATTGTGTAGATCTAACCTGGGAAACACTAGGTAGGTCTACTGCCTCAGGTGGACTTTTATCTCATAAGAGCCAGAGGGGCTTTGTTACTGTATATGAGCATTATCGTATTATAACAATTCATATTTGCAAATGTTTGATGGTACTATCTTTTATCCTGTATCAGGCCAAAGCCACTGCAATGAAAAACCATCAACTACCACATTCATATCTTTGACCATCCCTGTCATAATCTCTTCCCAAGTGTAATGCATCAAGACAAGAGAACAAGCTCCTTGAAGAATGTGACCTCCTGATCGACATCATACAGCAGAGAAGGCAGATCATAGCCACCAAGATAAAGGAGGGCAAGGTAACTTCTTAGGCGTTAGTATGTTTTGATGGTTACTTAGGAGGGCAGATGGGTCAGGTTGCCTATCCCTTGGGAGACAGCATGTTCAGATCTTTTTCGTGCCCCCAAGGTTGAACTTTCTGTTAAGGCTGAGGATGTACACTCTCAGTTGGGTAAAAAATTGGGTAAGGTTAGGGTACAGTATTGTTCCCGGAGGTACAAAAATATAAAAATACACATAATGTACCTTTAGATTACACATATAATCTGACATGGTACATTTGTTTGTTATACCCAATATTTTGAATATAAAGGTACAATCCTCACACAATCTCAAAAACAACGCCCATCGTTATCGTATTTCCCAGCATGCTAAATTGCAGGTTGATTTTTAGAACTGTTTGTTTCAATATGTGTGTTTTTGCATGCAAATGGATTGATTGATCTTATGCTACACAAAGATAAATAACATACATAACAAAACTAATACAATCTGTTAGTAGTTGGATTTATTGCACCCGTTACTGAGTTGTTCCCGTTAGGATGGTTTAGGTAGTGACATTTATACAATTTTCCCTACCTTGGCAGTCATTCTAAATGCAGGTAGCAGGTGTTTAAAAGTTCACATTTTTGGATATCCTTATTCTGTCTGGATTCCAATATAAATTACATATCACTTTGTAAACCACCATAAAACCAGGAGATTCAGACCACTGTGTTTGGGTAAAACTAGACTGTAAAGTGTTTACTTTCAACTATAAAATTCACTTGGGCACTCACTTGGTGAAGGCTACAGGACTGAAAGCTATTGAATGCTACAACCATGTCTCTATCACTAGCAAACGCAGTCATGAGTGGTACTGGTAATTCTAGAATTAACTTAAAAGGCACCCTGGGAAATATGCAAATAAGGCTTTACACCCTACAGTCTTAAAACAACACCCAAAACCCTTTTTAGAGGTACATTTTTGCCACTTAAAAGGAACTCACGGCTTTGTCACTTTGGTGTTAACCTAAAAAGGCACAAAATAAATTGTGCCTGTACCTCAAAGGTGTTCTACAATTGCCCCCATAGGATAACCCTTTTGAGTTCCAGGTAGAACCCTCTGTGAAAAGGGTTCTTCAATGGCTTCTCCTATGGCAGGGGTGTCAAACTCATTCCATGGAGGGCCTAGTGTCTGCTGGTTTTTGTTTTTTCCTTTCAATTAAGACCTAGACAACCAGGTGAGGGAGATCCTTACTAATTAGTGACCTTAATTTATCAATCAAGTACAAGGGAGGAGCAAAAAGCCACAGACACTCGGCCTTCCATGGAATGAGTATGACACGTGTCCTATGGGGACAGCCGATTAAGGTACAAACAACAAGAGTACAATTATGCACCTATTCTAAAGGTACATAGGACATACCTTATAGGATACCACTACAGTGACAAGTGTTTGTACCCCTTTAAAAATGAATCTTTATTTCTGAAAGTGTACGTTGTGACCATACCATAAGTCTCTGCTCGACATGCACAGCTTTCACTGACTATATAGCCTACCTCAAGAGACAAACATAAACAAGAGTCTGCTTCTTTGTTAGATTATTTCATTTACTCTGGAATTCATATTTAATGAAAAAGTGTTGTCAGTTCAGTGCTGTGTGACTGGTCTAACTATAATAGATTGGTTGTGTATGTGCAATACAGTATGTATCCTGTAGTATGCTTACTAAGAGTAATGGAGTATTGTTGGCACAGCATTTTTGCAACTTAAACAAATCCACCCTGCTCCTTGAGTGGTTTCCATTCCTTTCCCCCATTATGTGTCATTAGAGAAGGATTGAGGGGCTCGGAGGGAAGGCGCTGGCATGCTGTGTCAGAGCCACATCACACCTGTTTCCTGTGATCCCTCAGAGGAGCACTGCTTCCTACCTCGCCCCGTGCCTCATGTCACAGTCGGGAGTCAGAGGCTGCTCCATGCTCCCTGCTCTCTGCTCCCTGCCAATAGACGAAGGGGGCAAGCAAGCCGCACTCCCAGAGGGGAGGATGTAACAGCTCTGTTACCATGGTGATGTTATGGAGGATGTAGATTCTCCTCATGCCATCCTCAAAGTGTATCTCTTATAATGGTTTAAGCAGATGTGATTAAATAAAAACATGCCAAGCATGAATTACCTCGAGATTGTGACCTTTAAAGAAGGAACTGTCAACTCAATTGAACCTGTTGCCTTGGTAGTCCTTCAGTTTCTGAAGCCGCAGTAGGCTGAGAGGTAGGTTTGTAGACTTCATACTGCAGGTCTATTGTACCTGCCTCTGCACCAGTGTATTCAATAATCTGTTGTTTCTTATCAGGCTATACGGCTGCGAAAGCTAGCCCAGCAGATCGCCAGCTGCAAGCAGATCATTGAGAGATCGTCGTCCCTCATCACTCAGGCTGATCACACCCTCAAGGAGACAGACCACGCCCGCTTCCTGCAAACAGCCAAAAGCATCTGTGAAAGGTGAGCTATCAAGTCAACTGATTGTGGTGATAATGTTCCAAACCCCAACTGACTGAGAGTCACAGGTTGTAATAAGAGAAATGTAATGTGAATCCTATATATTTGTGCTTCAGAGTGTCTATGGCAACAGCATCCTCTCAGATCCTGATTCCAGAGATCAACCTAAATGACACCTTTGATACGTTTGCGTTGGACTTCACAAGGGAAAAGAAAATGCTGGAAAGCTTGGATTACCTCACAGGTGAACGCAATTCCGAACATGATCCTTCTTTTTCAATCAGAAATGATATTAAGAACATATCTATAACTCAGATCTATCTGAAATGGGAGATGATGGTACAGTGTTTATCTATTTCTTTAACAGTCAAGTGACAAAACAGTACCCCTGTTTTTGTATTGTCATTATTATGGGATCCCCCATTAGTTCCCTGCCAAGCAGCACGCTACTCTTTCCTAGGGTCCAGCAAAATTAAGGCAGTTATAACCATGTTTAAAAACATTACAATACATTTGTGGTCCCTCTGTAGCTCAGGCTGGTAGAGCACCGGCGCTTGTAACGCCAAGGTAGTGGGTTCGATCCCCGGGACCACCCATACACAAAAAGTATGCACGCATGACTTGTAAGTCGCTTTGGATAAAAGCGTCTGCTAAATGGCATATTATATTATTATAATTATTAATATTATTATATTAATATATTATATTATATTACAATTTCGACAACAACATTAAGTGTGTTGCCCTCAGGCACTAATCTACTACCACATACCACAACACAAAATCCATGTGGTAATGTTGATGTATAGTGTGGTATGTTATCGTGTGTGTGTAGTCAATCTCATGTGTGGTGGTGTTAGCACATCCTCATGTCAGAAGCTATGTGTCGGTCCAGTGGTTTCGACTGGGTAAAAGCCACAAGTTAGAAGCTGCGTTGAGGTCGTTACTGAATGAATGCTTTTGATGTTCTGGAAACAGATCTCAAGTTGTACGAAGACTGCAGTGTGGGTTTTTTAGTGTATCTTGAAGTCATGTGTTAGGTTGGTTTGTGCTGTCAGGACGCAGTGGACTCTTGTTCTGTATGACGAGGCAGTTTCGTTTTGTTGTTTTGTATTTTGTATCGTGTTGCTAGTACACTATTAAAGAGATGTACGCATATCACGCTGCGCCTTGGTCCAATCATTATGACGATCGTGACAGAAGATCCCACCAAAACAGGACCAAGCAGCGTGTCCAGGAGCAGACAGCCTGGACTTGGGAGGAGATCTTGGACGTGCAGGGGTCCTGGACTTGGGAGGAAATCCAGGCTGGAATGGATCGCCGTCCGTGGGAGGAGACGGTGGAGGCGCACCATAGAGAGGAGCAGCGGCGCCAACCGGGCCGACGTCGGACACGCAAGAGGCAACCCCAATACATTTTTTGGGGGGGGCACACGGCATGGACGACGGGGCTGCTGGAGGCAGATACGGGGCGAGTTTGGGGATTAGGAGAGGAGGCCACCGGGTTTGGGGGGCTGGAAGGGAGGTTGGCGGAGCCTAGAGGTAGAGTAGAGCCAACTCCCCGTACTCAGGCTAGGCAGCGTGAGACTGGGCAGGTTCCGAGGTATGCGGAGCTGCGTACTGTGCTGCGAGTGGTCCGGCACAGTCCGGTACGTCCTGTGCGAGCACCACGCACGTGTCGTGCTAAGGTGGGCATGCAGCCAGGACGGAGTGTGCCGGCTCAACGCTCGTGGCCTCCAGTACCCCTCCTCGGTCCCGGATATCCTGCGCCAGTGTCACGTGCTGTAGTGCCAGTACGAGTACACAGCCCTGTACGTCCTGTGCTGATGCCTCACACAGAGTGTGTAAAAATAGGCATTCAGCCAGGACGGGTTGTGTCAGCTCTTCGCTCCAGACCTCCAGTCCGTCTCCACAGCCCGGTCCGGCCTGTTCCTGTTCCCCGCACCAAGCCTATGGTGCGCGTCGCCAGCCCGGCCCGGCCTGTTCCTGCTCCCCGCACCAAGCCTATGGTGCGCGTCGCCAGCCCGGCCCGGCCTGTTCCTGCTCCCCGCACCAAGCCTGTGGTGCGCGTCGTCAGCCCGGTCCGGCCCGTTCCTGCTCCCCGCACCAAGCCAGTGGTGCGCGACGTCAGCCCGGTCCGGCCCGTTCCTGCTCCCCGCACCAAGCCAGTGGTGCGCGACGTCAGCCCGGTCCGGCCCGTTCCTGCTCACCGCACCAAGCCTGTGGTGCGCGTCACCAGCCCGGTCCGGCCCGTCCCTGCTCCCCGCACCAAGCCTGTGGTGCGCGTCGTCAGTCCGGCACAGCCCGTGCCTGCTCCCCGCACCAAGCCAGTGGTGCGCGACGTCAGCCCGGTCCGGCCCGTTCCTGCTCCCCGCACCAAGCCAGTGGTGCGCGACGTCAGCCCGGTCCGGCCCGTTCCTGCTCCCCGCACCAAGCCTGTGGTGCGCGTCGCCAGCCCGGTCCGGCCCGTCCCTGCTCCCCGCACCAAGCCTGTGGTGCGCGTCGTCAGTCCGTCACAGCCCGTGCCTGTTTCACCGGTGCCTGGTCAGGTACCGGTCAGCTGCTCCACACCGGAGCCTAAGCAATCCGCTCCACCGATGTCCAGTCCAGCTCCAGCCAGCGGAACCAGACCAGGGGCGCTACGTGGGGGGTTGTTAGAGGGTGGTGGTCACGCCCGGAGCCGGATCCGCCTCCGAGGCGGAATGCCCACCCGGCCCCTCCCCTGTTGGGGGGGGGGGGGGGGGGGTACTGTCATGCCCTGGCTCTGGGGACTCTTATATGTTGAGCCAGGGTGTGTAGGGTCTATGTTTTTTGATCTATGTTCAGTTTCTAGTTCATGTGTTTTCTAGGTTGGCCAGGGTGGTTCTCAATCAAAGGCAACGAGAATCAGCTGTTGCTTGTTGTCTCTGATTGGGAACCATACTTAGGCAGCCTGTTGTGCACTTGTGTTTTGTGGGATCTTGTTCCGTGTTGGTTTGTGTTCATGACCGAGGACTTCACGTTTCGTTTTGTATTTTGTATCGTGTTGCTAGTACACTATTAAAGAGATGTACGCATATCACGCTGCGCCTTGGTCCAATCATTATGACGATCGTGACACACAATAAAAGTCACTTGCAAGAGTGGGCTTGGTTGTATTTACAAAGATCTCCAATCCCCTGCACACAACCCGTTGGACGTCAGAAAATACACTGATTGTGTTAATCCAAAGTACTGTACTCTACTGTGTGTTATGTCAACTGTCCATCGTTGTTGTCATTAAATGACACATAACAGGAACTGACATGAATAAAAATAGCTATATTTTTCTATTTGCAGCACCAAATCCCCCAATAATCCGGGCTGAATTATGTACAGCATCGAACGACACCATTACTGTTCACTGGACGTCAGATGACGAGTTCTGTGTCGTCTCCTATGAACTTCAGTATGCCATCTTCACTGGACAAGCCAATGTTGTCAGTAAGTATACAATTCTTGTCTAGATCTCCTCAGTACAGTATGCTGGGTGTGTCTGTACAGTACATCTGTTGTGGTACAACATTTTTAATCATGATAGGTAGGCTATCTGAGAGCAATCATACATAGAGAGCCTCTTACTGTAAATAGCTTTGAGGGCTTTGAGGGCTAAAATTTTGTAATTTCAGCAGGGCAACAACCATGCTTTCCTTTAATTGTGTAGATAATAAGATATCAGAGATCTCTGCTCTGTATCTCTCTGGCACAGACTCTAGGCCAGAGTATATAGGCTGAGTCAGACTGGATTGCAATCCAGATGCAGATTATGGGCTGAATATTTCCCTGTGGCTCATGTAAGTGGCAGACTATTGGAATAGATCACCCTAACAGGGTCACAGAATGCTCAATCAAGCAATTGGCTCTCTTCTGCACCAATGCCTGTTCATACTACAGTGAATTGGTAATGTTATTGTTTGTGTATGATGTGTCATGCATTCCTAGAGAAATAACAGCAATAAGAGTTTATGATAATATGGAAGATAGAACTACCACATTTTAATTTAATGACAACAATTGGAGAAGGATTCATTGGACGTGTTCTTATCTCAACAAATGTATTTTACATTGTGTGTTTTACAATCCAGGGGTTGTTTCTCTTCATTCATCTGCCATTAACTGATTGTCTTTGTCTGTGGTCTAGGTTTGTGTAACTCGGCTGATAGCTGGATGATTGTGCCCAACATCAAGCAGAACCACTACACAGTGCATGGACTCCAGTGTGGCACCAAGTACGTGTTCATCGTCAAGGCCCTCAATCAGGCAGGGAGTCGCAGCAGTGAGCCTTGGAAACTCAAGACCAACAGTATGTCTGTGTTTCGAATAGCTGTACCATGTTGATATCACTAAGCATCTTTGAAGATTTGATATATGGATAGCACATTTGCCATTGTTTACTGTTAATCAATTAATGGTCATTTCACAGGTCAGCCATTCAAGTTGGACCCAAAGTCTGCTCACAAGAAGCTGAAGGTCTCCCATGACAACCTGACAGTGGAGCGAGACGAGACGTCGTCCAAGAAGAGTCACACTCAGGACCGCTTCACTAGCCAGGGCAGCTACGGCGTCACAGGGAATGTGTACATTGACAGCGGGCGCCACTACTGGGAAGCCTTGATAGGAGGGAGCACATGGTAAGGATATGGACCTGTGGTGTCTGAAGTACATCAGACTAGAACATTTGGAGAGACAAAGGTGTGTGAGAATCAGATTGGGAAGTCCAATCATGATCTCTGTTACACTACAGTAAACTCAATCTTGAAATCTAAAATCTCTAGGACGTTAGGCCTATCATTTCCCATCGGTGCTATTTGACCACTACCAGAAAATGAGCCATCAACATTCAATATTCTATTTTTCTATCTTCATCAGGTTTGCTGTGGGCGTTGCTTACAAGTCAGCACCGAAACACGAGTGGATTGGCAAGAACTCGGCCTCGTGGGTACTGTCTCGCTGCAACAACTCCTGGGTAGTACGTCACAACAGCAAGGAGATGCCCATCGAACCGTCCCCCCACCTGCGTCGTGTGGGGGTGTTGCTGGACTACGATGCTGGCTCCCTGGCCTTCTACGATGGTGCCGGCTCACAGCACCTGTACACATTCGACATCGCCTTCGCTCAGCCAGTCTGTCCTGTGTTCAACGTGTGGAACAGGTGTCTGACCGTCCTCACAGGGCTGCCCATCCCAGACCACCTAGAGGGGACAGACTGCCGGGATTAACAGTCCAGCTAATAGAACACAGAGACACAAAGGGAGAAGAACAGACTGACTACAGCCTCACCTGGCTGACTTTTTGTCCCACCACCAATGCTGTATAAAACAAAACAAAGCCATGGTCCCAGATGTCTTTAATCATGCTCTTATTAGAAGTAAATTAATTTCTAGAATTATTTATGGAAACCATTTATTGGATTTTATTTCTTGCTTTGCACATTCCTTTACACTACTATATTTATGCTTGTTGGTTTTTGGGGTACGCTTAGAGAGGAAGATGGATATAACATTTTGAAATTCAGTGAAACTTATTTTCATGCAGCTCTGAGAATAGTTTATTTCATTCTTACACATACAGTAGGTTGTTTACTTCTTTCCATGTATCCATCGTTAGCAGCATGTTGATAAACATTTTATGTGTAACCAATTGATTTTGACATGGCATCATGGCAGCAGTGCCCCTGATTACTTCATAAAGCAGTTATAACAGGAGTAGTCATCTACACCTGTTCTGTTTCATGCAGGTGTACCAAGATCCTCTCTACAATTAGAATTATAACAAACATGTTAAGAGTTAATTTAAGAGTTAATCTGCCTTTAGTTGATTCGATTTTTTTGTATGTTTTTTATCACAGCACTTCCAATGCACTGAGAACTTTATTTTTTTTGTCATTTAGCAGACGCTCTTATCCAGAGCGACTTACATGAGCAACTAGGGTTAAGTGCCTTGCTCAAGGGCACATCGACAGATTTTTCACCTAGTCGGCTCGGGGATTACAACCAGCGACCTTTCGGTTACTGGCACAACGCTCTTAACCACTAAGCTACCTGCCGCTCACTTGACTTGACTATGATTGACAAATTAACAGAGACAATTCTTCATCCTCTCTTTGTTAAAAAACACTATGATGTTAAAAAGTTGATTATTGTTGAAACTGTACATTTTAAGCCATTTTAAGTGAAATTTCGATACATAAATAACTTATAGAGTCGATTGATGCACCAGTGCGTCACCTGGTGATGGAATTTTGAATATTGAATAGCTCCTTGTATGTTTATGCTAAAGACCAGAGATGAAGAAGTGAGAGGGATAACTGGGCCCAAAATCTGTCATCTCCAATAGGTAGCGTCTTTTTGTTTTTTTTTGCTCACCAAGCGAGGAGTTTTTGTATGGAGGTCAAAGAGAGTGTGTCGAATTTGGTTTTGAAAAATTTGCTTATTTGCTACATGTGGCTTATTTGATCGAATATAACTTTCATAATGATTAGGTTGTTTATGTGTACTGATATAAGTAGGACACGTGACATCCAGGCAACTTTAAGAAAAAACATTTTATATTGGAGTTGTGTCTGGTAGTCACTAGTTACCACAGCCACAAAGTAATAAACCCCTACCTTAACCACACTGCTAACCTTCTGCTTAACCCTAACCTTAAATTAAGACCAAAAAGCACATTTTTCTTTCCATGATTTTCTTGACGATATATACTGTAATTTTGACTTTGTGGATGTGGTAACTAGTGGAAACCGTTGTGCCTGTTCACACACGTCCTAAAATTCTAAATCAAATGGCTAAATTATACATTTTATGACCATCTTAAAACAATTCCATATGTTAGGTTAGTAGATATTGCGATCTAAGGGCTTAGACCTACAGGGGGTTAATTGTAATTAAATGCACCATGTGCAATCTCTGTAAATGCCTTGCTGTTTTCTTCTCACGTTGTATGTTCACATACATTTGGTATTTGAGCAATTTGACTTTTTCTGATACCTGCATCATTATTTTCACACTAGTATACATTCCTTGTAAAAAAATTAATAAAGTGACATCAACAAACTTTCCAAGTGTGAATTTGTAATAAAACATCTCAATTGTAATGATAATGCTTTTTACTTGTCTGCTACCTAATCTTAACTGTAATTTTCATTTAATTCAGACACCCCTGTAGCTAAAACAAAGAGAACCACCTGATATATTTTAGCTTCGATTAATTTAACGGATTATAATGTCTCATTAATGTTGCACTGTATCCTTTATTAACACCCCTTTTTAAAAAGTGTGTCACTATTATTATAAAGACCTCTTCAGCACTATACAACAATGATTAAGCTGTGATGAGATTCCTTCTGACATCACATTTTTGTGCTCAAGTAGCATGGCTTTAAGACCACTGGACCCCGATCCTTTCAACTAAAGTAGACTAGAACATATCTGAACTTACCGTGACCTCACAATCGGACACCCTCGAGACATGGATCATAACATAGCTCAAGTGCACGAACATCGCCTGGCTAGAATGATGTCGCAGAGACCTTCATAGTTTGATTGGAGGCATCTGTAAATATTTGTGTACAAAAAAACATGAAAGAGTGAAATATTATTGCAGGTCAATTTGATCAAATCTGCATTTGTGTTATTTACACAGTATCATAACATACCTTTAATTCTTAAATAAAATTATACAGGGTAAAAATAGCAGGTGCAGTAGTTAGGCCTACATAGTTTTCAGAATAAGACGTTTGTGTGTGGGGCTGTAGCTGTGTATTCAGATGGCAAGAAGGGCTACATCTTACGAGTTCCAACCCAACTTTGCTATTTAGTAACTTTTTTCATGTTAATCTGTACTTTTTTTGTAGAGAAAGTTCATAGTATTATCACAAATGACCGCCAAGAACTTCTGGACATCAGATCGACAGTTACTAAACTTGATTTTGAATTCAAATCCGACTTCAACTCCGAGTCAGCTGTTCCCTTCTTCATTCCGGACCCCATTCCTTTGTTTCATTGGCTAACAAAATGATGCATGCGTAGACGGGGTAAACGAGCCGGCATCCTGGTGAGATTGAGACTAAGAGAATCCCCTCCGTTCTATTGGCAAATGTCCAGTCACTCAAGAATAAGATGGATGAGCTTCGTTCAAGAGTCTTGTATCAGAGAGACTTGAAAAGCTGCAATATTACAGTATATGGCTAGCAGAGACGTGGCTGAATGACTCTATGTCCATAGAACTCAGTGGTTTCTCCATGCAGTGGCACGATCTTACGAAGGCGGCCTCGGGCAAGTCCAAAGGGGGAGGGGTGTCCCTGTTCATAAACTACAACTGGAGGGCTACTTCTAGTGTGAAGGAAATCTTAAGCTTTTGCTCACCTGATATAGAATACCTCATGGTAAGCTTTTATCAACTAAGAGAGATCTCATCCATAATTATCACGGCTGTATACATCCCTCCACAAGCCAACACCACTTTGGCACTCCAGTGGTGGAAAAGTACCCAATTCTCATACTTGAGTAAAAGTAAAGATACCTTAATAGAAAATTAGTAAAAGTATTTGGTTTTAAATATACTTAAGTATCAAAAGTAAATGTAATTGCAAAAATATACTTAAGTATCAAAAAGTATAAATAATTTCAAATTGCTTATATTAAGCAAACCAGACGGCACAATTTTCTTGTTGTAAATTGTTTACGGATAGCCAGGGGCACACTCCAACACTCATATGTGTTTAGTGAGTCCGCCAGATCAGAGGCAGTAGGGATGACCAAGGATGTTCTCTTGATAAGTGCATGAATTTGACAATTTTCCTGTCCTGCTGAGTATTCAAAATGTAACTTTAAAAGTACTTTTGGGTGTCAGGGAAAATGTGTGGAGTAAAAAGTACATTATTTTCTTTAGGAATGTAGGGAAGTTTAAGTAAAAGTTGTCAAAAATATTAATAGTAAAGTAAAGTACAGATACCCAAAAAAACTACTTAAGTAGTATTTTAAAGTATTTTTACTTAAGTACTTTACACCACTGTGGCACTCAATTAACTGTATGGGGCCATAAACAAACAAGACACCGCTCACCCAGATGCGGAGAATTTAACGCAGAGAGACTTTAAACTGTTCTAACTACCAACACGTCTCCTGTGCCTGTAGCGGTGTAAAAACTCTAGACCACTTTAATTCTACCCACAAAAACGCATATAAGGCCCTCCCTCATCCTCCCTTTGGCAAATCTGACCATGACTCTATTCTCCTGCTTCCTGTTTACAAACAAAAGCACAAACAGGAAGTACCAGTGACACACTCAATATGGAAGTGGTCCGATGAAGCAGCCGCAAGGCTACAAGACTGTTTTGCTAGTACAGACTGGGATGTGTTCCGGGATTCATCCGATAGCATTGAGGAGTTTACAGTCATGGGCTTCATCAATAAGTGCATAGATGACGTCGTCCCCATAGTCACTATACCAATGTATCCAAACCAAAAACCATGGATTACAGGCAATATCCGCGCTAGGCTAAAGGCTAGAGCTGCCGCTTACAAGGAATGGGACATGGACATGGACACATACAAGAAAGCCCACTATGACCTCCGATGAGATATCAGTGATGCAAAAGGACAATATAGGAGGAAGATGGAATACTATTACACCGGCTCCAATGCTCGTCGTATGTGGCAGGGCTTGCAGACAATAATGGATTATAAAGGGAAACCAAGCCGTGAGATACCCAATGATGCAGAACTCCCAAACGAGTAAATTGCCTTTTATGCTAGCTTTAAGGAATATAACATTGAGTCTTGCGTGAAAGCCCCTGTTGTTCCGGATGAGTGTGTGATCTCGCTATCTGTGGCCGATGTGAGTAAAACTTTGAACAGGTTAAAACTCGCAAGGCCGCCGGGCCAGATAGAATACCAGGGCGTGTTTTCAAAGCATGTACAGACCAGCTGGCAAGTGTCTTCACAGACAGTTTCAATCTCTCCTTGTCCCAGTCTGTAATCCCAACATGTTTCAAGCTGACCACCATTGTCCCTGTTCCCAAGAACTCCTCAACACCATAGTCCCCTCCAAGCTCATCACCAAGCTGGAGACTCTGGCACTGAACACCTCCCTCTGCAACTGGATCCTGACGGACTTGGACCCCTACTGTACTCCCTGTTCACCCACGACATCATCATCAAGTTTGTTGACAACATGGCGGCGGTAGGACTGATCATCGACGGCGATTGGACAGCCTACAGGGAGGAGGTCAGAGACTTGGCAGTGTAAGACACAGGAGCTGATCATGGACTACAGGAGAAAGAGGGGAGAGCACGCCCCCATCCACATCGACGGGGCTGTAGCGGAGCGGTTCGAGAGCTTCAAATTCCTTGGTGTCCACATCACTAAGGACTTAACATGGTCCACACTAGGGCTGTTGCGGTGACCGTATTACTGCCACACCGGAAGTCATGAGTCATGACTGCAGTAATTCTACATGACCGTTGAGTCACGATAATCTCCTCTTATGCACTCTGGACATGCATTAGTAGTAGCCTACCCAACTCGCTAACAATCATCAGGCTAATGGCCTGGTACTCAGGGCTCTATTGTCCCTTTAACCACTCTGATATCAATGCAAATGAAATTGAAAATCAAATCAAACACTTATCATCAAAACAGTATGTGCTATTAAAAAATTCACCTCACTGTGATTGATCAATTTGAAGAAAGAAGTTCAACAATAGGTTGAAACTGAGTGGAAAACATGGTCATTGGTGATGTTGTTTCAAAGCCTAAAAACGAAATGGACAGCGCTTTCTAAGGTGATGATTAATTCAAAACACCCACATGCATATTAGAGCTTATGCATACGCATAGGCCTATATATGAGGCCAAGTCCCACCAAAAAACTGAATTAAAATGATGATTGTTCCATTATACAAT